TTCAAAGTTCCTTTCACTGGAACTAAGGGGCCAAGCCCAACTCCTGAAAAACAACCCCACACCATAATTCCTCCTCCACCAAATTTCACATTCGGCACAATGCAGTCCGAAATGTACCGTTCTCCTGGCAACCTCCAAACCCAGACTCGTCCATCAGATTGCCAGATGGAAAAGCGTGATTCATCACTCCAGAGAACGCATCTCCACTGCTCTAGAGTCCAGAGCTCTGTAGCAATTGACTGTGAAGAAAGTCGACGACCTCTTTGCACTATGCGCTTCAGCATCCACTGACCCCTCTCCGTCAGTTTACGTGGCCTACCACTTCGTGGCTGAGTTGCTGTTGTTCCCAAACTCTTCCATTTTGTTATGATAAAGCTGACAGTTGACTGTGGAATATTTAGGAGCGAGGACATTTCACGACTGGATTTGTTGCACAGGTGGCATCCTATGACAGTTCCACGCTGGAATTCAAGTGCTTGATTTTATACACCTGTGGCCAGGCCAAGTGATTAGGACACCTGATTCTGATCATTTGGATGGGTGACCGAATACTTTTGGTAATATAGTGTATGTGTACACACATACTGTATATACGCACACTCACACACACAAAACACACTGCATGCACAATTATTAGGCAAGTGGTATTTCTCAGGTTAATTTTATTGGTGAACAAAATACAATGGTCTCAACTGATCCTAAATGTTTATTTAACAACTAAATAGAATGTTTAACAAAGAAAAAAATTGATGTCTTTTTAGGGGAAATTATTAACATGCACAGTTATAAGGCAACTTTTTGTGAAAACAAATATTAGGCAGCTAAATTTCAAGTATTTTTTTTGACTTGTTTATTCTTCAGTCTTAAAGTATTAATTAACAAATAACTAGCATAACACAGTTAACAAAAACAATTTTCTCCCTTCAAAACTATTTAGTGCTGAATGTAGCCACCCTTCTTTTCAATAACCTCCATGAGCCTTCCATTCAATGAATCTGTCAGTTTCTTGATCTGTTCATGATCAATTTTAGCTGACACCACCACCACAGGCTCCCAAATGCTGTTCGAAGAGGTGGATTGTCTTCCCTCACTATAAATGTCACGCTTGAGAATTTAAGTCAGGTGAGGAAGGGGACCAAGTCATCATTCTATCATCTTGATGCCTTTGACGCCTTTTCTGGCTAGCAAAGAAGTGCTGTACCTTGATGTATGCGATGGAGCATTGTCCTGCATAAAGATCATGGCCTTCTTGAATGTTGCTGACTTCTTCCTGTACCACTGCTTGAAGAAAGTGTCTTGTAGTAACTGGCAGTAGGTTTGGGAGTTGATTTTCGGTCCATCTTTAACCCGAAAAGGTCCAACTTTTCATAATTAATGATACCATCCCACACCAGTACCCATACTCCACCTTGCTGGTGCCTTGCTCAGACTGCTGGTCTGTGCTCATTAGTGATCCACCCACAGGTCCACCCATCTGGTCCATCTAGAGTCACTCTCATTTCATCTGTCTGTGAAACCTTTGAGAATTCAGGTATTCAAACCTTTGAGAATTCAGGTATTTCTTGGCCCAGTCATGATGCTTCAGTTTGTGAGTCTTATTCAGTCGTGGTGTTTCAGCCTACCTTACCTTAGCCTTGTCTCTGAGCACTTCACACATTGTATTTCTATTCACTCCTGGCAGGTTGCAATTCTGAAATATGCTGGCACTGGAGGCTAACCGGCTCCTGGAAACCTCATGTTTTATTCTTCTTAACTCTTTTGCAGTCAACTTGCACCTTTTCTTCTCCACACGTTTTTTGTGACCCTGTTGAGTATTCATAACCAGCATTTGGTTGTCCAGTGGTCACGCCTCAATAGTTTTGCAGTGTGCTGCATCCTTTTGATAGGAATTTTACAGTTCTTGACTTTTCAGTCTCAGTTAAATCTCTTTTTGTCCAATTTTGCTGAGGTAGAGAAGCTGCCTAATAATTGTGCACACCTTATATAGTTTTTTTTTTTTTTTAAGCCACACGCTCCCTCATTAAACAATTGACTTCACCTGAAGATAATTATACCCACGTTACATTCAGGTTTATATGGTTAATAGTTGGATAATATGCATAGAAATAATAATCGGATCATAATACTGGCTTGCCTAATAATTGTGTGTGTGTGTGTGTGTGTGTGTGTGTGTGTGTATACCATAACTCAGCTGACCTCATTTACTGTTCTGTCTGTCTCTGTGTCTCATGTTACTCTTTCGGTTTCTTTCTTTGTGTGTGTATCCTTTCTTTACCTCATACAGTCAGTCTTTATGAATGTCCTTCCCTGCATGGTTATTTGTAAATTTACACTCTGTGCACATGCTTTACACTCTGTGCACATGCTGTAACTTTTCTTCCTTGTTTTTGTACGTCATACTAGAGGCCATTTAAAGGCAGGGTGATGGACCTATCTGCGTTTCCCTGCAAAGCTAACACCTGGATTGCTCCAGAGTGGCCTGGCTATATGGTTGAGCATTAATAAACGAAAGCTGAAATTGAAAGTCTGTCAATAAGATTCTCTTTTTCTTTTCTTGCCAATGCCCTCAGATTTTTCTTGGAGTTTTATTCATCCTGGTGGCACTCCTCTTCTTCATATCCCTGTTCATTTCCAAGTAAGCACTCTTATCTTCAGCTAATATTACAAGCTCCACTATAAGTTCACCTTCTCACCCCAAAATCATTGTCTGTATTTAGCAGGTTTGCAGACTAAAAGACATGGGGTTAATAAAGGTTGATCAGTGGAGTATATTGATTTCTGCACCATTTACCTGTAAGATCCTTAACTGAATTTAATACCTGAAATTCTTTTTTTTTTTTTTTTTTTTTTTTTTTTTTTTTTTTTTTTTTTTTTTAAAACATGTACCCATGGAAAACAATGGCCTGCTCCAGTTTTTTATTCTCAAGTAGATTTTTGTTTAGTCTTACATTGTAGCCTTTAAATTAAAGGTGAAATGTTTTGTGCTTATATTATTGCAGTCTGGACAAAGCCCTGTATTCATCTGGGATGAGCACTGGCCTTATAATCTTTGGAACAAACCTAACAAACCCCTTAAATGAACTGCTGCTGGCATTGCAACCGGTGAGGGGATACTCGATTAGTTATAAGCTAAGTTGTCTACTATATACACAATACTAAGAGTGAATCACAATAGTATCTAATCCTGGATCAGTGGAAGTACTTGACCATTTATCATATAGAAATATCCTGCTTTATTGAAGTGAACATTTGACATGCTGATGTTTTAGAATCGGGTCATGGCTGTGTATCCAGCCATTGATTAAGGAAACAGTTCAAGTAAAGTTGATTTTACAAGTAGTATTTAATAATCACTTTAAGTAGAACATTACTGTTTGGAATTATTGGAATTTAGTATAAAATATAAGGTTAGTGTGCAGACTGCCCACTCTGGTTTGCGATACAGACCTCATGAAGATCACCGTTTTCTCCTAAATCATGAAATAAGAGTGTACCTGCAGTGCACTGAATTAGTAATAACTACAGTCATACAATTTTTGTAATTTTGCCTCTGTACACCACCACAATGGATTTGAAATGAAGCAATCAAGATGTGATTGAATTGTAGACTTTTGGCTTTAATTCAAGGGGTTTAGCAAAAATACCATTTAGGAATTACAGTCTTTTTTTTTTTTTACGTAGTCCCTCCATTTTTACAGGCTCAAAAGTAATTGGACAATTGACTGATAAGCAGTTGCATGGCCAGGTGTGGCCTGTTTCCTCATTATTCCATGACAAATTAAGGAGATAAAAGGTCTGGAGTTGATTCCAAGTGTTGAATTTGGTTAGAGAGTGGTCTAGTGGTTAGAGAGTCGGACTCGTAACCCGAAAGTCGTGGGTTTGAGTCTCAGGTCTGGAAGGGATTGTAGGTGGAGGGAGTGAATGACCAGCGCTCTCTTCCACCCTCAATACCACGACTGAGGTGAGGCCCTTGAGCAAGGCACCGAACCTCCAACTGCTCCCGCAGCAAAAAAGGCTGGGTGTGTGTTCGCGGTGTGTGTGTTCACTACTGTGTGTGTGCGCACTTGGATGGGTTAAATGCAGAGCACAAATTCCCAGTATGGGTCACCATACTTGGCCACACGTCACTTCACTTTCACTTTCATGGGAACTCTTCATATGCGGTCTAAAGAGGGGTCGATGCAAGATGAAGTGAAGTCAAGGAGGCCATCAATAGGCTGAAAAAACAAAACAGACCTATCAGAGAGATAGCAGAAACTTTAGCAGATCATTTCGTTCCTTGGTGAAGAAAAACCCGGAACACTCAGAGAACACTCTGGAGCAGGTAGGCGTGTCATTGTCAAAGTCTACAATCAAGATGCCTTTATGAATGTAAATATAGACCGTTTAGCTCAAGATGCAAACCACTGGTAATGCTCAAGAACAGAAAGGCCAGATTAAAAAAAAAAAAAAA